GGGGGAGGGGGAGAAGGAAATAGATGAGAAAGAATGTGAAAAAAATGTAAATCCAGTTGCAATCAAATGACCAGAGTAAAACAATTTCTGAGTTACCTGGGGCCAGTCAGTTCAAAGATGATATCTCAAGGCTGTCACCCTCTTAAAAAAAGAACAAGAACAAGACAAGAAGGAGAAAGAACGAGGGGAAAAAATGCGGAAAATATGTGAAAGAATGTGAAAAGAAGTGGAGGGAAAATGTGAAAACAATGATCAGAAATGTCTTGAGATATATCCACAGCGGGGAAGGTGCCGCTAGCAAAGAGGATCACCTGAATCTGGACGCGTTCAGGAGAGGTGCAAAAAATCGCGATTGAACTGCTTTTCTGTATCTCCGACCAGATTCAGGCGCTTATCCAACCCTCCTTGAGTTGTCCCAATCCTCCTTGAGTGGTCCCAAACCTCCTTGAGTGGTCCCAAACCTCCTTGAGTGGTCCCAATCCTCCTTGAGTGGTCCCAATCCTCCTTGAGTAATGCGACCACGCTCCACGGGATTGACTGTCACCACCCAGAATCATCATAGAACAGTACTCCAATACTAATTTCTTTGCTTTTCCTTTTTTAAGTTTTTTTCTTTTTTTCTTTTTCTTCTTTTTTTTCCCTTCTTTTTTTTCTTTTTTACACTCCATACTATTTCAATGGGTCGTGAACAACCAACAGGCCTACCATCTTCACCCGAATAAAATGCCCCGTAATTTTTGCTGCATCTGGACTGAAAGTTGTGCCAAATGCGGCTAGAATGACCGGGCGTTCTATTCGGGTGAAGACGGTAGCTCAGTCGGTACAACCATGAACTGTTGAAATACAGGCTCGAGTTCGAATCCATATATTATCAGATGAACAGACAACAATCATTCTGACTTGCCTGGGGCCGGTCAGGTCAATGGTGATATCTCAAGGCCGTCGCCCTTTACAAAAATTTAAAATTAAAATTAAAAAAAAAAAAGAAAAAAAAAAGAAAAGTGGCGTGCACACCAACTAAAGGTGCACCGCTGACCTGTTGAAATGCAGACCAGGGGCGAGGTCCCACTTGCAAAGAGGATTGGATAAACCGCCTGAAACTGGACGTGTTTTACACCGAGATGCAGAACAGCAGATCTATCGTGAGTTGTGCACCTCTCCGCGAACACGTCCAGATTCAGACCTTCAATCCAATCCTGTTTGCGAGTGGGACCTTGCCCCAGAGTTCGAACTCTGCTGGAAGCAGATGAGTTTAAATTTTAAAAAACTGCAAGAATTCTGAATTACCAAGGGCCGGCCCCGTTTCAAAAAAAAAAAAAAAAAAAAAAAAAAAAAAGAGTCATGAACCAAACCACCTTTTGCACAGTCTTTTTTTCTTTTTTTTCCATAGGCTGTAATGGTGTGCCCATAGGCTGTGTGTTCTGCACGTAGGCCCCGTAGGTTCGGTGTTGTGCTCGTAAGGCTGTGTGTTGTCCCTGTAGGCTGTGTTGTGCCCGTAGGCTGTGAGATGTGCCCATAAGGCTATGTGTTGTGCCCCTAGCCTGTGTGATGTGCCCGTAGGCCCCGTAGGTTGTGTTGTGCCCATAAGGCCGTGTGTTGTGCCCGTAGGCCATGTGTTGTGCCCATAGGCTGTGCGTAGTGCCCGCAGGCTGTATGTTGTGCCCGCAGGCTGTAAGGCCGTGTGTTGTGCCCGTAGGCCATGTGTTGTGCCCATAGGCTGTGCGTAGTGCCCGCAGGCTGTATGTTGTGCCCGCAGGCTGTGTGTGTGTGCCCGTGAGATATGTGTGTGTGCCCAGAAGCTATGTGTGTGTGCCTGCAGGCTGTGCTACGTAACAGTTGTGCTATTCTGTGTATTATGGTAGGCCTATCTGTGCTAGACACCCCACAGCAAAGTCCCAAGCCAGACTCGAACCAGCGCTCGTCATTGTGCCACAGTTGTGCACCACCAAATGTACTACAAATTCGAATGATAGCATCAATGTGCGATATGCCAGAGTGGGGAGATCTCATCAGAACAACCTACGCCCAACATCCTTAGGCAACCTACTCATAGACAAGCCCCGGCATACAGCAATCCTGGACAGAATCCCTTATATAGGCGATGCAGGCGGTCGGTGTCTGTAATGCTCTTACCTTACAGAGCATCAACCCAGGGGGATGTATGGCTTCTGTACAGGGGTGCGGTAGTGCGGTCAAGCCCCGCCCCGCCCCGCGGGTTTCCACGCGCGAGGCTGCAGTGTTTTGAACCCACAACCGCAGAGCACAATGCGCATATCCAACCCGTGGGCTACCCACAGAGTTAATCTGCTTTGTTTTTTTGTTTTTTTGTTTTTTTTTTGGGGGGGGCAGGGGGGGGGCACAAAGGAGCAATCTTTATAAACAAACCGGGAACCAGGCCTGGCATGCCTCACAAATGGCCGCAGCGCCCAGGGTGAGCAAAGCTACTTGGTAGCTCTCCCAGGGTGAGCAAAGCTACTTGGTAGCTCTCCCGCAGCGCACGGGCAGGCTGAGCAAAGCCCAGGGCAAGACTGTAGCAGAAATTTCTACCTCTTTTTTTCCAGCCTTGATTCATTTTCGTTGCATGGTTATGACCCGGACACTGCCAGGTCCAGTTGTCCAGGTTCACTGTCCAGGTTCACGTCCAGGGTCTATGTTTGGTGCAGTATACAGTTCTTTACAACGGGAGCACCCAAAAAAGCCACCTGTCCACGCCGGCTACCTACCCGTCTTGGTCGTCTTCACCCGGGGCAAGGTCCTACTTGCACAAATTAGGAGATGTCGGCCGTTGATCTTTGCTATCTACAGTCAATATCTCTTAATTCCTGCAAGTGGGACCTAGCCCCGGATAGAACGTACGATAATTATAGCTGTATTTGGGCAAGCTTTCAGTCTAGATACCGCAATAATGACCGCGTTCAATTTGGGTGACGACGGCAATTGAGTTTGATTGCGTAGAAGACTCATCATGAAGTTGAGTGGTCTTCGGAACAGGGTTCTGCCGAACAAAACGAAGAGTCAGTATATCTGTATTTGGACCAACTTGCGGTCTAGATACCGCGATAATGCCCACTGTCCTGTGTTTTGCAAGCACGTATTTGACGGACGCTGGTGTTCGTGGACCTGGACTCAAGAACAGGTTTTTTTTATCTATCGTCCATCGGAAACCCAGACACGATACCTTTCTCGGCCTTTTGGCTAAAAATAGATCAAGAAGTGTAGTATCCGTTCTGATCAGTTAAGTATCTGATCCGTGGTCCATCGGGCCACATTAAAAAAAAAAAAAAGAAGAAAGAAGAAGAAGAAGAAGAAGACGAAGAAACCCAGGCACGGGGTTTGTGAACCTGGACTGAACCTGGTCCAGGAGGAATGACTGTCACTGTCGAACTGACTGGCCCCAGATAACTCGTAGAGTCCTCGTATTCATTTGATTCCCAGCAGGGCGTGTTTCTCAACACTCCATAGGGAGGTATCATTCAGACCAGGTCTTCGTGAAGCAGAACTTGACAACGCGTTTTCGTGAACCTGGACTGGAGCCAGGTCCCGGGACATGTTTTTTTCCTTAGCGCAGGGGTGTCCGCCACACAGATGGATCCCAACGCAGGGAGGCGGTGAGAGCGGGGCCGGGGCCGGGGGAGGGCCGGGGGAGGGGCCGGGGGGCGGGGCCGGGAGGGGGACATTGGGGGGAACATCTGCTGCTCCTCACCTCGAATAGAACGCGGGAGCGAGTCAGTAGTAGTAATTAAGGACATTGTTACGTTTTTTTTTTTTTTTTTTTTTTATTTTACGGCTTTTTATCGAGTAGAACACGGGGAGGGATTTAAGCGTGTTCTTTTTCTCTTTGTCCTTTTTGGGGGGACCATTTCTCAATTTCTGCGTGTCATCCCTGCGCAAGGGCCACGCTAATCTTGTCTAGGTACCCTGTATCTTTCCAATTTTAACGGATCTCTCGGCGGACAAGTCTAGGTTCCCTGGTTGATGCTCTCAGATGAGTCCGTCGAGAGATCCGTTAAAATTGGAAAGTACAGAGAATCTAGACAAGATGAGCATCGCCCCTGCGCACTCAAGGATGACACGCATAGATCTCTAAATGGTCCAACTCTTTTTTTTTTACAGAAAAACAACTTTAAATTTTAAACAAAGGGGAAAAAGAAAAAAAAAAAAGGAAAGAAAAGGAGCTCTCAGTCGAGGTACAGGTATCGTGCATGACCACCTGTGTTCTATTCGCGGGTTGGGGGCTCTCGTCCATCTGAAACAGGAGCAAGCAATCACAGTCCAATCCTGTTACACCGCCTCTGACGAGTTGCCACGTGGATGTCCCGGGATCGCGACGTGAATGTCGCGGTCTTTCATTCTCCTTTTTTTTTTTTTAATTCTTCTATTAAAATCATTTCATTATTTACGCTATATTCTTCTCTCAAATCTTTCATCATCTTCCAAATTCTTTCAATTCACCTTCACTCTTCACTACCTACCACTACTCTTTCCTTTTTTTTTTTTTTTAATGGCCCTTTTTTTTTTTAATGGGCCCATGTGGATGTCCCGGTACAGCTTGCGCATGCGAAATGCGCAGGCCCGGGGCCAAGTCCCACCAGCAGCGTTCAGTTTCCTCAACGCCTGAATCTAGACGTGTTCGTGGCTATGTGCGTTTGAGGAAACTCAACCCGTTTTCGGCACATCTCCACAAACACGTCCAGGTTCGGTCTTTGCGGAAACTCAACGTTGCAAGTGGGACTTGCCCCCCGCAGTTTTGACACGGTGCATGTACCCACCCAGTCTGAGCGCGAGAGGATGGAGAAATGGGAGAGAGAGTGGGTAAGGTAGGCAATGAGCGTGAGAGGGTGGGGAAAGGGTGATTGATTAGATTCTTCACAATGTCGGACACTGAGTGCAGCGCGTCAGCGATGATGGCCGTGCTGCCAGATATCCACCTGTCACACAAAACGACAACCAGGGGAAATCACAAATCAGGAAAGATGCCGCCCAAATTTCTTTCCAAAATGAGCGAAGGGGGCACCACCTACCCCGCCAGATGTTGTCTATTTATTTATTTTTTCCTTTTTGGGTTGGAATTCCACCAAACCAAACATTGAAAGGTGAAATTGACAGAAGAACATAGCTCAGTTATTAAAAAAAAAAAAAAAAAAAAAAAAAAACACGCAGTCTCACCCCCACCTGTTACAAAACGACAAAAAGGCGAAATCCCAGGATCGAGTTGCGTTCGGTAAATAACTTGACCGTTTTTTGTATCATCAAGCAACCACCGAAAGAGCCGGTTTTTTTTTTTTGTTTTTTTTTTCCTTTTTTTTTTTTTTCAGGCAAACAACAAGCAATTATCAATGAACTGTGTAGCTCAAAATGCATGTATCCCTTTTGATCCTCTCATTTACTAACAGCCTCCACTCCCTCACTTCCTTCTTGCCCTCCTTTCAACCTTCTTCTTCTCTCTCTCTCTCTCTCTCTCTCTCTCTCTCTCTCTCTCTCTCTCACACACACACACACACACACACACACACACACACACACACAGAGACACAGTCTGTCACAGTCACTATGTCGTTGTGGAGTTGAACTTAGCATACAGAAAAGACACGTGAGAGGGGGGGGKGGGGGGAGGAGGACAAAAAAAGAAAAGGGAAAAAAGAAAGGAATAGTTATTGTGAAAGGAAGTAACCAAATTTGGGGAAAAGCTGTTTCGTCGGACTCCCCTGGAATCCCGAGGGTGGATTCTGTCATTAATTAGCCCCCACAGTGGAGAAATATTTATATTTCAGTTGATGATATTTCTGATGGAACGAGGACCTACCCTGCCGCACCCTTGCCAAGAGTCAGTGCCACGTCAGCCCAGAGACCTATGCGCGAAATTCTCTCTCCTGCCTTTCCCGCCTTCTCATTCTCGAGCTCACCTTCATGATGATGATGATGATGATGATGATGATCGGCGTGACCTCCCATGTGTCGGCGCACCTGCCGTCTCACGAAATCAGGCAACCGGATCCCGTGATCCACTGGGCGATCGCGATCCCGATCAGACCTCGTTTGCGGCCGACGTCTCAGCTGCGGTCCTCCATTCACTCGACCGAGACGCACGTTCGGAACGACACTCTTTGGCGCCATATTTGGTCCGCGAAGAGCTTCCGTAATGCCGTTAATCACCTCCCCGCGCACGTTTGCCTTCTTCCAGTGCAGAGAAGCGGGATCGGGATCGGGATGACACGCAGGGGAGAACGACGGCAAAGCGCGCCGCGATGGCCGCCTGTCCGTACGCCACGTGGACACGTTCGGTCCTCCATAGCTCCCGCCAGCAAAGCGGAGGTGTAATCGGCATGTCAGGGAGGAATTCTCGCGGAAGGTTCCCTCTCGATCGCCGATCTCGGAGGAAGGAGATCGGACGTCTCTAAAGCCATCACCATCTCCGCATCTCCACCAAAGGCGATGATGGCGAAGAGCAAGGCCCCACGCACCTGGCGAGGCGTGTAGACCAGATACGGATTGATCTGAAAGCCGTCCATGTCCCGCAGTCGATGACATGTCCCCGCCGCCGCCCCATCCATGATTGCCATCATGCACAACCGCTCGATGGATGCAATCGAGATCCTGTGATCTTGATTGCGATCTTGATTGATCAACGGTCGACGAGCACTTCGCCGGCAACGAGCGGATTCGTCGACAGACTAGAGAGATGCCACGTGGCATGGACACGGAGACGCCACGGGGCGTTACCTCAGTCGACTGTGGTTCACAGGCGGTGAGGAATTCGCGATCGCCTTGCAAAAGCGGAGGAAAAGAATGAGGACGAAGAGGAAGACCGCCATCGCCGGACCTCGCGTCGTGCTTGTACGCGATGGCAGCGATGTCTATTCTGCTGCGCCGTCGCCTCCACTCTCGTTCCACACTTCTCACGCATTGGCGGTACATCATGCATAAGCCAACGGCGGAGATTGGACGGTAAAGATGTAAGGGATTGATCGGGCGGTCGAGATTGCGTACTCGCAGTCGTCGGAAATCGGTCCGCAAAGATTGGACGGTGAGCGCGTCTGTTGTGTTTGTGTTTTCTCTTTTTTTCTGTTAAGCAGCGAACCCGCCAAGCCAATTCAGTTCTAAATCTATTTAAACTAATTTATTTTATTTTTTCCCCCTAAAAGTTTTTCTGATAAGCAGCGAACGGTGGGATCACGAGTACTGGAGGGAGATCCCACTACGCACGTGAGTGGAGTAGTGGACACGGTGTGTGACTCCAATGCACCGCGGATCGGGACGGCAATCAGCGGTGTGTGTTTTTTCGTATTTAAGGGGATGGGTATATATGTATTTCCGTGGCGACCTATTGGTCGGTCTTGCTTCTTTTTTTGTTTTGAAGGTCCTAGAGGGGTCCCCGATGTGAGTGAAAATCATGACGTTTTTTTCCGTGCTGATTTTCACGTACCTTCCACTTACCTTTTGGAGGGCGCCCTCGCAGGAAAGAAAGGCCAACAGCTAAAAGTTTCGGCCTTCGCCATTATGACGGGATGTCAGCTCGTGTCAGACTGTGTGAGAATGCTGTCTGCAGTCGAAGCAGCGGTGCTTATTGGTCGGCTGGGGAGCCCGTCACTCGGACGCCCTTGGTTACCACGATTTTTTTAAAGTTTTATGTTCACGGAAAGGATGCCGCACAATGTCGCCCGCACGTCGCGCACCCGTCACACTACACCACATACCTGGATAGTGGGATCTCCCTCAGTTCAGTTCTAAACTAGGCTACCAGATTGCCCCGGGGCAATTGCCCGCCCGGGCCAAAAATATATATATATATTTTTTAAGTTTTAATTTTATTTTTTATTTTAAATATGGTAAAGAATTTCGATGTGACCCTGAGGCAAAAGTTGTTCAGTTTATGTTTCTGCATAACATAGTTTTTTTTCGGGGTTTTTTTTTTTTTTTTTTGCTTAGACCTTCCCTGGTCCTTGCACGGTCGGGCCATCCAAGAAAATAGGGTGACCCGGGCGGCCTGGCTGGTAGACTAGGTTCTACATCTATTTTATTTATTTATTTCCCCTACAAAAGTAACCTACATTCTTCTCTCAATTTCACCTCGCCACACGGTTCTGGCTGCTACGGGGTGGGATGGGAGTCTCGTGAGTATGTTAAAATAAAAAAGAAAAAGAAAAAAAGAGAAAAAAGGAGTACTGCTACGGGGTGGGGTTGTCCTGCCCCACCCCTGCGTACAGTCTTCACACTCATTGCTCAAGCGCGGCACCAGCCCTGCCAAGAAAGCAATCTTTACTCCCATCTACAACCTCCCTACCTACACCCTCAACACAGACAAAGTCAAAACTCCCAATTCCAAATAAACGGATCTCTAACAGGCCAAAGAAGAAGGTCAAAATGCAAAAATAGTAAAATACCCTAATCCCCGAAGTCTAAAGCAACATCCCCTCAACAAACTCGACACCTAACGACAAAACCAAAGAGAAACAAACCTACATAGATGTTAACTCCAACCAAACAGGTAAATGAGCAGTAAACCCAACACAAAACTAAAAGTACTCCTAGGTCAACACTAACTACAGAATACGACGAATTATCAAGAATCAAACGATCAATTCACAACATCAAACGCAAGCCTGTCAAGGGTATCGAAAACTCCCCAACACAACTCCCAACACAAAGTTGTCACGGGTATCCACATGTTTTCGCTTCGACGCCCTGCAGCGAACTAAAAGCCGGCAACAGAACAAATTAGGGCCGCTCACCTATCATAAATTTAATGCGTTTTAAGTTCAACCACGGTATCAGAGAAAATACCATTGTCCCACATCCCTATCACCACCATCCAATTTCCCGTACACCCTATCTCCCCACCAAACATCGAACTAGGCACTAGCAGCAGTCACACAGTGCTTGGATCTAACACCAAGGAGGGATGACACTCGTACTTTCCTTTTTTCTTCCTTATTATAGTCGGGAAATGGGACCAGCATCCCCCACAAATGAAAGTGGCCCACCAACGAAGCTAGCTCGGTTGGTCCAACCTTGTCGAACTGACTAGCCCCAGATTATTCAGAGTAAGTTTATATTTTTATTCATCTAATTTCATCTGGATTCGAACTCGGGTTGGCATTTTAACAGTTCATGGGTGTACCAACTGAGCTAGGCAGATTGGTAGCTCAATGGGCACACCCATGAACATTTGAAACGTGGAATCAACCACGGCACACCAGAGTTCGCAATCGAAATTTTTAGGAATACTTGTATCCAACCTAATCACACCTTCCTTGAAAACTAACCACCCATACCCACTGTATACCTGGTTTTACCGGACCTTTACCCATCCCTACCTGCTCCAAAATGGAAAGAGGTGTACCCATACCTGGCTTACCTAAGCATCTTCATACTGTAACTGCCCGTACCTGCCCATATACATTTTTTTTTTTAAACCACCCATGGCCACCTGAACCCAAACCGTTTGGTAACCACACGTACCCTACCCAATGCAGGTTTTCTTTACCCGTACCCACTTGTACCCACCCACAATTGTATGCACCCACCCGTAACCACCCGTGCCTGTCTCCTGAGTCATGACGCCTGTTGTCGCTTCTGATCACACCTGCGACGCCCCCCTGATGGGTCACACTTGCAACGCCGACCATGGAAGCTATGGAGGATGGATTACAATGGCCGGCGGGGAGGATGACAGGTGGGGACGTGAACGACGGGCGGGGACTCCAGGGAGTAGTGGGAACAGGGAATGGAAAGGGGCGAGAGGCGGTGCAAATGAGCGGGGGAAATTGGCCTTGCTCCACTACTCGCGGAATGCCGAAAATGAGAACGTATCTTTCTCTGAAACATGGGAAGATACACTTTTTTTTTTTTTTTTTTTTTTTTTGCATTTCTTGAGTAGTGGAGCGAGGCCCACTTCAAAGGCCCAACTTGAAGTCGAGAAACTTTTGGACTTTCAACAATGCAGCGGCTTGCAATATAAAAATATATATATATAAAAAATTCTAGAAACTGTCAGATGAACAAAATAAAATCCTTTTCTGAAGGAATAATTTGCAAAATACCAGCATAAGTTGAGATATATGTCAAAATGCCCCTAAAAGATGAGGGTAAACCGGAATGTCATTTTGGGGCGAAATCTTTGTATTATGCCCCTGTCAGGCAAGTGTGCAAATTTGCATGCTGGACCTCCCCGTTTGGACCTCGGCCTTTTGCAATCGGGCCTAGAAAAAACTGGCAAGAACCAGGGCATTTTGCAAAGTTGGATGACACCCAATAGGGGTAAAATGCAAAGATGGGGTTCAAACCGACACCAGGGGTATTTCATAAATATATTTTTCGTCAGAGGGGCATTCTGCTCTACCCACATCTTTCAGGGGCATTTTGGCATGTATCTGAACTTATGGAGGTATTTTGCTAATTATCCTTTTTAAAAATTTTAATTAAAAAAAAGTTAAAAATCATTTTGATGAATTAAATAAAATCATTATGAATTATCAAATTACCTTTGGGCCCTTGAGATCAGTCAGTTCAACGATAATATCCCAAGGCTGGCCCGTCTAAAGGGAACCACGCACTTCGGCCTGGAAAAAATCAAAGTCGCCGATCACTTAATATAGCAAGCCTCCTAAGAACCCAAACCGATAAAACGCAATATGAACTACCATTATCCTCTATACACCACACTATCTCATCGAGAGGCAAAGTCACACTCATGACAAACCTGGTAATGTACACAGACTATGCAATATGAAGGAGTACAATAAAAAACAAACTTAAAAAAAAAAAAAAAAAGGATCTCATCCCTAGTCGTATACCTTGCCCCCCCAAAAGATACACTCGCATCTATACACAACTTTGTGATGTAAAAAGGCAAAATCAGCAATGTGCACAAACTCACGGAGGAGCACAGTAGAGAGCAAACTACCCAAAAACAATTAATATCACCCTCAATCATGAATCCCTAAAAAAAACACTTGTAAGAGTTGTACGTTCCTTAAGAACACAGAAAGTATTGTTAAACCACCAGTACTTGGCCCAGCTATCGGCCGCGGAAAAAATGAGTAAAAACGTTTCGAGTTGGATGAATTTGGACGCTCCTGTAGTGACCCGTACGTTTTTTAAAATCGCGTAGCGTTAACGGGCACGACTTTAAGAAGTACTGGTGGTTTAAAATAGTCAACAGGCCAACAAGTACTCATATTCTTCCCAAAACACAGACAATGATGCGAGAACAGTCAAAACTATAGAAACTTAGGGTGAAAATACTTACATCAAGGGCCTAACTCATTTGGTACACACCAATAAACTGTTGAATCACAGTCCCAAGTTTGAATGCAGATGAACATTTTTTTTCTTCATTTCACAAATGTTGCCTTCTAATAAAAAAGATCTAGTGCCTTAAGGTGAAAACACAAAAGTACATCCTTCCTGACATCCTATTAGAATTGAGACACGACCTAGCAAATTAGTACCTTCACAAGGATAACACGCATAAATTAATAAATAATACTAATTATTGAAACGCATGTTAAAAAAAGTACGGAGCACTGCAAAAAGCAAGCAGGAGCCAATAGGTCTCGGGTTTACAACCCTCAGGCAAAAACATACTCCTTAAGACGATAAAAACAAAAAGTAAAACCGGAAAAAAAAAAAAAAAACCCTCAGAATGTTGATAAAAAACCTAGGCTACCAGTGTGGCCAAAAAATAAAAAAATAAAAATTATTTTTTAACTTTATTTTTTTTTTTAAATTTGGTAAAGAATTTCGATGTGCCCCTAAGGCAAACGTTGTTCAATCTATTTTTCTGCATAACATAGTTTGTTTTCAATTTTTTTTTTTTTTTTTTTTTTTTTTTTACTAGGACCTTCCCTGGTCCTTGCACGGTCGGGCCATCCGAGAAAATAGAGTGACCCGGACGGCCTAGCTGGTAGCCTGGTAAAAAACTGTAATGAAATCCAGCTAACTACATCTCTCTGCATCCACAACCCAAA